GCGGGCGGGCCGGGGTGGCCGCGACGGAGCCGGCCGAGTTCCGCTCCCTCCGGGAAGGGCCGGGGCTGCCGCCTGTAGCCAGATGAGTGACCTTGCTGTCCACATCCCCCCGGCCTGGAACCGCGGCGTCCGGCTGTGGCCATCTCTAGCCTTTGTCTGGCCGCGTCCCTGGAGGCGCCGGCCGCTCCTCACTGCAGCTGCAGCGTGCTGGCCCCGGGCAACTGGCGCCGACCCAGCAGGGGACATCTGTCCACCTTATCCAGGCCCTGGCGCCCACTGCCCGGCCGGCTGCTGCTCACAGGGCTCCATCCCTGAGCGCTGACCCTGCCTGGAGGACTGGCCCTCCTGTCCCCCGCCCAGCTCCAGCCTGCCTGTGGGAGAGGCATCCCCGGCCGGCGGCTCGGCTGGGTCCAGGGCGGCAGGATGGACAGAGCAGAGCTGTCCCTGGACCCTGCCCGCCCGCAGCCCGCCCCCCCCCCGTGGGCCCCACTTAGGCCGGGCGGGGCCCTCTGTGCCGGGGGAGGCGGGGGCCTGGGCCCAGCCGGGAGGCCCCATGGTCTCAGCCTCCGCACCCCTGGGCTCGGCGTGAGGACGCTGGTCCCGCGACCCTCGGCCAGGAGACCGGAGGTGACCGCTTCTCCTGACAGCGCCGGCTTGACGCCCACAGCCGCAGCTTGCAAACAGGCTCTGGAGAGGAGGACTCTGGGGCCCTCGGCCGCTGCTCTGGGAAGGTGCCGGCCTGCCTGCCCGCCGGCCAGCGCCTGGACCCTGCTGAGCGCTCTGAGCAGACGGCCTTCCCCTCACCCCGGGCAGCAGGGGCAGGGGTCCGGGAGGGACCCACCCGGGAGGGACCCACCCTGCCCGGCCCCTCCCGGCCCCCCTCCTCTCCCCTCCCGGCCCTCTCCACCCCTCCTCGGCCCCCTGTGGCCGTCCTGGTGGGGGGGTTGTGTGTGGACAGCGCCCCAGCTGGCCACTCCCCCCTGCTCCCGGGCAGCGTGGTGACACGGCACGTGTTGGGGTCGGTGTGAACCTGAGCCCAGGTGACACAGGAAAGCCAGGAGGTGGCCGCGCGGGGCGCAGGCTGGAGGGGCGGGGATGCACTGGCTGGCCGGTCTGTGCTGCCCCCTGGTGCCCACTGGCCGCCATGCAGCCCCTCAGCTCCTGCCCCTGCCTGCCCAGAGCTGTGTGCCAGGGCGGCTCAGCCCCTCCAGGGCCGGGGCCCTCCAGGTCGGGGTGCGCTTTCAGAAAACCACCAGCACTTCCCCCCGAAGTGACCCGCACATCCACTTGGGGAGCGTGCGGCCTGCGTGGGCTGCAGTGGCCTGCAGGCCGGCCACAGCTCCGTGCCGGAGAGGCCCAAGGCGCCACAGGTGTCCCTGTGCGGGCAGGAGCGGCCCCACCCCGGAGGCCGGCTGGGCCCGGCTAGACGCCGGCTGGACGCC